AATAAGCATTCTTTAAAAAATAACAAGAAGCTAAATTAACTTGAAGCACTTGTGAAGTAGGCAGTAAGTTCCGTCTTTCCGTGGCTCACTTAACCAATTTAGCAATCCTATAGAATATACAGCGGTCTGCACTAGCTAACAGGAATAAAACTATACATAAAGGGAAAGTGTTCTTGATCTGAGTTGTTAAGGGTTTAAGGTATTGATCCCTCAGATCTGTATGCAGAGGACATTCTGTTAGAAAATGTACCATGTCCTCTGTTTTAGAGCATCCTGCTGGGCAATGTCTGCCTGTACTATGTTGGTCCGTGTAGTGTCCCTGAAACTCTTTCGGGTGCAGCAAGTTCCGTCTGCATTTAGGTAACAGATGTCTCAGTTCATATGCGATAATAAGGGACAGGTATGGGGGCAGCTTTCCAAAAGGCGAGGAAAAGCCTTTGTATATCCTGTTAGAGCTGCAGCTAGCTACAGATGCCATGGTCATTTGGATATCAATATCATATATTTGAATGATATCTCCTTGGGCTCCCTCATATCTGCTTCTGTGGTGTTAGACTGGGGAGTAACCCAGTTTTGATATGGTTGTGGATATATTTGCTGCCCAGAAGTCCCTTCCCATTTCTTCATAGGCCAATAAGATCAGCCATAAGGCCTATGGTACACTATCTTGACCCAGAATAGCACAGCTGCTTTTTTTAAGCAAAAGTATCCACAGAGTAGCATGAAGTTACAAAGTGGACTGTGGCCATAGAAGTAGATCTTGGTACCCCTAGTGCTCTGGTTAAAAATTGTGTTGGACAGATTCAAATGTTGCAATATTTGAAAAAGCCCACACTGGGGCTCCACACTGGAGAACATATCAGGGATCTCCTACCAACTCTACTCAGACTGAAGAAGCTACTTGGATGAGCCGTGAAACGTTTCAACCTAATAAGAAAGAAGTCCAGTTGCCATGACTCAGCTTCCAGATTACCTCACCTGGATGACTGAGAATCTTCACAGATATACTGTACTTCATTGTGTTTTAAAGTTTTATTTGATTTTTAACATGTACATATGTTATAAACTGTGTTGGGGCCTTGAAGGGAGAAAGAGGAAGTGTCAATCAACCCAAAGAGGCAAACTCAAGGATTCAAAATGTATATGATTTTATTTAATAAGTAAATAATTTATGTGAAATGCCATATGAAAAATTGGTTTTGAAAATCCTGTACTTATTAAGAGTGGTTTGCAGTGTAATACTGGGCTCCTTCTTGACAAACACAGCTCTAAACCTACCTTGGGGACAGCAGTAGTACTGCATTTTAAAGAAGCTTACTTGTTATATTTTAAGTACAGGGGTGCCTTGCTTTGCGATTGCTTCGTTTAATGATGAAATCGCTTAGCGATGACTTTTTTGGAGCGATCTTGCGCTCCGTTTAATGATGGTTCCTATGGGCGATTTTTTCATAACGATGTTTGGGACCATGCTTCGCATAGCGGTGACAGTTTGGGTCCCCCTGTTTCGCTTAACAATGGTTGTGACAGCCTCATGTTGACTGTTTTTCGAATGTTTAAAAATGCTTACAAATGTTTAGAATGCTTGAAATCATAAGTGCACTTAATAAAACCTTTGTTAAACTAATTTGACTTTGTTCCGACTCTTTTTTAATTTGTTGTAATTTTTTCCCCCATTGAGATGCATTGAATAGGTTTCAATGCATTTCAGTTGGAGAACCGTGTTTCGCTTAGCGATGTTTCCTATGGCGATTTTCGCTTAAGGACAGCAATCCGTTCCCATTGGAACGGATTATCCGGTTTTCAATGCATTTCTGTGGGAAACCGTGTTGCGCTTAGCGATGAAATCGCTTAACAGCGATTTTTTGGGAACCAACTATCATTGTTAAGCGAGGCACCACTGTAATGTTTTATACAACAATCAGTAAGTACTACAAAATGTAGTCATGGAAAGACTGGCTTCTAGAGAGGTTTAACTACAGCTTTGAACATTATTTTAAAAAACCCAAAAGTGTTAGTTATTTCTTTTTGAAAAAAACGTGTTTCCCCAAAAATAAGACAGGGTCTTATATTAATTTTTGCTCCAAAAACACATTAGGGCTTATTTTCAGAGGATGTTTTATTTTTCTCATGTACAACAATCTACATTTATTCAAATGCAGTCATGTCATCTTCTGGTTGCTGCCCAAGGGTGGAGGGCAGGGTTTCACTTAACTGGGGCTTATTTTTGGGGAGGGCTTATATTAGGAGCATCTTGAAAAATCATACTAGGGCTTATTTTCAGGTTAGGTCTTCTTTTCGGGGAAACAGGGAATTAGGGTTGTTGCTGTTAATATTACTTTTTATTTTACAATTAACACACTAATATCTAATGCATTTATTTTGTGAGTATATTTAGAAAGACTTTAAAAGAGCCCAAAAAATTAAACATGGCTTCCACCCCCTCCATGACCCTTTAAAAAACAGTGGTTGGTGTATTGGGTAAACATTACTTGTTACACTCTAAAATAACTTGTAAGAGATAACAGTAAAACATGGGTGGAATGTAATGCATTACAGGAAACCATACTGCTTGTAAAATTCTAGCTTTGAATTCAGCCTGGAGGAAATAGATTCTGGCTGGTAAAATTCTGTTACCTAATATGCTATGCTCTCAGTAGTTTAAATCCATTCCTGACAATTAGAGTCCACACGCCAATTATGAAGGACATGTCCAGATGCTGTGTTGGTGTTTGCTTCTATCCAATAATTATGAAAGGGACTTTTTATTTGTCAGTTAAGAATGATGTTGAAAGTTAACAAAGTGTCTTATACAAAGCAACAGGATTTTAACCAATATTTTTAATTTATCCTTGTTTGTTTCACTTCTATGCTGTTTTTCTCCCAGCATATATATGTGTATAAATGTGTTCCATTTGTTTCAGTTGAAATTTATTTTTCAATAATCATACTGACAAATGCCACATTAATTTAGTAAATTATATTATCTCATAAAAATTATAAAATATTAAATGCAAATATAGTTTTAACATTAAAATAACACTACTAAAATAGATTTGAACCTAAGAAAGTAGAGCTAGTGGATGAAATCCTTTCACTTTGATTTACATGTGTAAGACTGATGATGTTATCAGCCATGTTGATTTTTTAAAAAATAAAAAATTTCTGTTGCCTCCTGCAAAGGACTCAAAACTCCCATAGGATCCCTTCCATTATAGGGAAGCCATTGAGTGCTGTGGGATTGAGCAGCCTATGGTGGTAATTTTCTGGCTTTAAAATCATCCTTGTTCCACAATTTCCAAAGGTTTCCTAGGATGGAGGGGATCCTTAAGATTCAACAGACCCTGGGAGGGAAGGACTGGGGAATCTTGTGGCTGATGACATCACCAAAGTTGGGTGGCATAGTTTACCCCAACAGGATTCTGGTCACTGTATCCTTTCCTGGCCACCATTGTTTAAGAAGTATATCGACAAACTAGAACATGAATGGAAGTTCCTTGGAACCTAGCAGGGGGGATTGGAAATGGCTGCAGCATGGCTATGGCTAATGATGTCATAAATGTTTTGTGGTGTCAGTTATGCTAAGAGAATTCTGGTAAGTAGTTTATTTGAGGTATAACTGAAACAGAACCTGAACATTAATCCCTTAATCTGAACACTATGCTTCTGCTCTTCTTTCTTCCATCTCCATTTTCAAACTTCTTTCCTAAGAATTTTTATTCTAAAACATAAAAGCTGGTGCAGACACTGGATCATGCAAGTTGATCTGCTTGTATGAAAGAAGTAACATCAGGGAATTTTAACTGTGAAGGCAACAATATAAATACATATGAAGGTAGTCTTAAAACTGTTTCATGTAATTAAGTGTAGATTCAGAAGATGGCGCCACTTCTTTATCATAATATTGTTTGCAATTTCCTAGTATAAAGAAAATGTCTGTTTAATTATGAAGGCCTGTTCATTAAATGTGAATGCTCAAACTTTCTTGATTCTGTCATTCTCATTTTTGTTAGAAACAGTCCAATCCAGTATGCCATTCCCTATGAATGGTTCTTCATCATAAAATACTTACCAGCTGTTGAGGGTCAAAGACTATCCTTTCTGTCTTGCTGTTGATACTGTAAAACCTTAAACAGTTATAAGCCCCACTATCAGTTTCACAATTATTTCAACAAATCTTTGCTTCTTATTTGGAGATTAATACCACAGTAAATGTCATCAAGCTTTAGCTGAATGCTGTGTAAAATATTTTTTATCTGAATTTCTCTGTGGTGAAGATGTGACCACAAGGGAAACCTTATGAAATGAGCTACTAAGGCCACAAATATGCAGAAGTTGTGTTGCAGAAAATCTGAACTTCTGTGGCTCATGAGTTCATACCATGCTTGCAAGGACTTCTCAGTTTAGCTAACCATCCTCTTATTATTGCCTTTAAGGAAGCAGTTGTGTCATCATTGATACATTGTATGATAGTACACCTTGCAATGTATAGGTTTCTTCGCTGTGCAGAACAATGATTCATAGGTATGAATCTGTTTACTGTTTGTACTTCCCAGAAAAAGTACTGTATTTTTTGCTCCATAAGACACACTCCCCCCCCCAAAAAAAGTGGGGTGGAGTCTGTGCGTCTTATGGAGCCATATAATTTCCACCTTCTCTATCTATCTTAACCAGTCTCTAACTTTATCTCTATCTCTTCTGACTCTAACTCCCTGACTCAGTCCTGACTGACACTTCTCCCCCTCCTCCTCTCAGGCTCTGCCTTTTAACCTCTCTCTTGGCTCCGCCTCTCAATCACATTTGCATAGACATGAATAATACATGACTTATACCTAACAAAGGCATATAGTCAGGGACATCATAATGAAAACAGACTTCATCCTGCATAAACTGTGTAGTCTTTGGCTGTTGCCCTTCAAAAGTAGCTGTTACCGTTTCTTAGTTGTCTAGTAGTTACCTAATTTAAATTAACCTCATTCTTTTTCCCTTCCTAAATTACTTAGGGAAACTATCGCTTTATGAAACTTTTACTTGCTCGTAGAGCAAATTGGATGAAAAAGGATTTGGAAGGAATTACTCCTTTGCATTTAACTACCCGGCACAAGAGTCCAAAGTGCTTAGCTTTGTTACTAAAATATATGGCACCAGGAGAAGTAGATACACAAGACAAGAATAAGGTAAGCAAAAAATTCTATGTGGTTTTTACTATAGCAAAGCAAAGTGTGCTGCTTATATGCCATCCCATAGTGCTTCAAGCACCAGTGGGTGTCGACTCAAAGGCAGCAGGCCTGACTTTGCATCCTCCGGGCATTGCCTCTGAGAGGGTGCCTCTACTTCCACCTTCAGCGGATTGCCCAGCTGCATCCCTATTTTGATGGCGGGACCCTCACCACTCTGGCCCATGCACCTGTAGTCTCGAGATTAGACAACTGCAATGCACTCTACGTGGGGCTACCTTTGAGATTGATGCGGAAGCATTCTATATACCTTACATTTTCCTTAATGATCTCCACACAGTGCACTGTGTGTGTACTGCAAGCAAGTAGAATTACTTGGCATGGTTCCAACTGCAATGCACTTGGAGTTATAGGCCTTCCTGTTCAGGTGCCTTCAGACTTTGATGGGACAACATTATAGAGAATTGTCTCCATGAGTTTTCCTTTGTGTAAGTGACTCCAAACTTTACTCAAGAAGGGGAGACTGCAAATACAATAATGGCCAAAAATATTGGCACCCTTCCTGTTCAGTTCAGACTTTGATGGGACAACATTATAGAGAATTGTCTCCATGAGTTTTCCTTTGTGTAAGTGACTCCAAACTTTACTCAAGAAGGGGAGACTGCAAATACAATAATGGCATGGCAATACAATCCCGAAACCCAAAAATGCACTGGCCAAAATTATTGTCACCCTGTCTAAATTGTAAGAAATAATTGCTTTTCAAGCATGTGATGCTCCTTTAATTTGGATTTAGACACACCTGTCCTGTTTAAAAGGTGTGGGCAATATAGTAATCACACTTGCAACCAGTTAAGATGGAGAAAAGTTGACTCAATCTTTGTGTTGTGTGTGACACTGAGCATGGAGAAAAGAATGAAGTGTAAAGGGTTGTCTCCAGAGATCTTAATGTCCCTGTGTCCATTGTGTGCAATATCATCAGGAGGTTTACAGCCCACAGCACTGTAGTTAACCTCCCTGGATGTGGACGGAAGAGCAAAATTACTCAAAAATTACAACAAAGGATTGTTCAAATGGTGGATACAGAACCCAAATTAACTTCCCAACAAATTCAAGCTGATCTGCAGACACAAGGTACAACAGTGTCAGCTC